CAATAATTGATTATAACTTTTGGACAAGGTAAAATCTGTAGTTCTAAAGCACCTATTATACAAAACTAATTCACGCAAAAACTAGAAAATACAGGGAATTGAACATAGGACCTTCTGAAATTACATATTTTCTGATATAACCCTAATTCCTCACAGGGTTGAGCGTCCCATGTTGCATCCATCCAGGTCCACACTTTAGACGCACCGCACAATACCAAAAATACTGTTGGCCCTAAAGGCCGCATCGTATTCCCGGATACCTCATTTTGTTGGAATGCCAGACAGGCCAGGGGATCAGCAAACCTAACGTGGCATTATTCGTAGCTTCACTTATCAATTCCTTGAGAGCCCGGGAGGGATAGGACGATTATTGTACAGTATCTGGGAGCTAAGTTACCCGTTCTACCATACCAAGCAACGGCCAGACCCAGAAATGTGATATTAACAAGCCACTCAGATACTTACAAGGCATGTGGCAGTAACATGAAGGTTAGAACTAGCTGACAAATGAAAGAAACCTCTCTCTGTGACTCCCCGAGGTATGATAGCAGTGCATGAGTTTCTCTGTGCTTGACTTATCCTTAAAGCGAAAGAGAGCCTAGATAGCCACTAGAGTATTTCAAGAATACCCGGACCCCTTTGGCGCACAGGATTCGTTCTTCTTGCCGGCGCTAGAATTAGCACGTCCCGGGTCACGCTTACCCGTAATTCATAAGTACTATGCAGTATTACGAGGCGCCGGTGATACTATTCCCGGTAGGCATAGGATTTTGATTCTGGTTTTGTTAATACCCATTGCAACCGGGCATCAGATACCAGGCACCCGGTCTAGTTGTTTGAGTTTGTGCGAGCTCAAATCAGGGGGGGGGTTGGGGTTGGCTTTGCATGGCTAGTTTTTGCATGCCATTGGTGTTGGACATGGTTCAAGATGATTGGATAGCTCGGGATAGTTTAGGATGAGGTGCTTATAGCGCTATTTCCCGTTCACGCACAGGGTACGTGTAGTAACCAGAATGCTACCGTGTGCAGCTACGAATTTCCAGCAACCAACAGTATTGCTTACTGACCACGGTTACGGTAGCAAGAAATCTTTAGGGTTCGCGTTGTCCAAGAGTTAAATTTACCTTGTGCTTACGAGTGCGGCTGATAGATATATTCGTCACGTGAGTCTGATAAGAAAGTTTCACTGGTTGGGAGGCTTGAACTAGCCCTAGTGCCTTCTAGCCCTATCATCCGCCAAGCCCAACATCAGGACACATGTCATCACACCACGTCTCTGTCAAACATTTCCCTCTAAATTTCCGCTTCTCCATTTACTCCCCGAATAATTGAAAGCATCACGAACGGATATCTTCACTATGTCCAACTTCATGCAGGAAATCTATCATCAGATGTGGGTAAGACAAAGAGTCATTGTCAAAAATGTCACTATCGGAGTACCTCAGCCGCACTTGGTCAGGCCGGAGCCCGGATACGGAGTCAATCCAGAGCAGGCTCTAACCGGGGACTTCCCCGGCCTTGAGTTCACAGAAATGGTGCGGGAACAAGAGTTCACAGTACTCCAGGCTGGGGCAAGGCTTCCATGCGGCACTGATTTGCTTCTCGTACGTTCCGACTATGATAGGATAGAGCGTCTCTTGGTAGCTTCGGAGTTGGGAAGATGGTCCGATGGCCCCGGACTCCTAGAACCGGGAGCCAACCTGGACCACAAGCTGTCTGGTCCATCCGGCTCAGGTATGTAGTAATTATCTGATCCATATCTGGTCCCTAGTCTGACCTATGAGAAGGAAAATCTGTTTTTCTTTCTTACCTCCTCGCGCGTAGGCTCTCTATGGGTCAGCCCACCGTTTACCGTGAGGATGACAGAAAGTGTTTTCTCTTCGACCAATACACCCCCGGGAAGCAAGTGAATGCAGATGCTCTATTCCGCCTTCCCATGGACCAACAAAAACGGCTCTGGATTCTCACTTCTGATCCGCCTACTGATCCGCGCTGGAGTTATTCATGCGGTTGGTTTGTGGTCTTAGCAGACATACCGGAACATATGAAATCCACTAGCCATAGCGAGTGGGAGACCGGGAGAAATGTTGGCGTGCACTACATGAGCGATTGGCAATGGAGTGAAATATTCGCTGTTTTCAAGTATTAACCATGCCTACGTGTAGGGTGAGCAATCGGCTGACCCAGGTACTTTGTGATAGGTTATTGGGGCCAGATACTCCGACACCTAGTGAGATTGGGAATCTCTACACAACCTTCGTTTGTCTGGGCCCAGCAGCGAGGACATGCCTGATATCAATCCCTACCTCAATTGAGGCAGGCTATAACCGTAGGCTGAGTGCTCATCTTTGCCGTGTGGATACCAATATACAGACCTTCCTTGCCCGCGGCGCCTATAAGAGCATCCTAGCTAGTCTCACCAGGCCTCTCTCCCCCAATTCAGCTGTCATGGAACCTGCCGAAGACGCATTGTTCCGCAAGGCCGGAATTACCACCAGATGGCTAGCCCACCGGGTACTTATGGTAGCACTGGAGCAGTCCTCCCGGATTGGATTTGGGTTATTCCCTTATTTTTTGCGCTATCAAGGACTACAAAACATTAGTGGATGGATTTTCGAGGGGTGTGCCCAATATGTGCTCAGCCACGGAGGGTCCTTCAATGCCGGCGAAATTCCTATCGCAAACAATAACTCTCTGCCACTCAAATTCACGATACAAAAAAATCAATCCGCCTGCCCTCATTATTTTGCCAGTACAGGCCACCTAGCCCAACAGGTTAAGGATAGGTATCGTGATGGTCTTGCACCAGATACTGTAGGAAAATATTTCCTGCCGTACAGCCGGAGGCCGGAGTCCATTGATGGGCTAGTTTTTAGTCATCCGGACACCTTGATTATATTCCGGATTACGATCGCTGGCACTCTCACAATCGATTTGCAAGAGATACAAGACCTCTCCCGTGCCTTGCCGGCTACCATCCGTCAGATACGTGTTGTCTTTGTTGTCCCGCAAGCTCACACCAGACCTGACGTCACGCTCCTTTGCATCTCCGAGGCCCCTGCCATTATTCCACCAGTCAGCGGTTCAGCCATTGGGCTGTTTCAACTAGTCTGTACGTATGGTGACATGCAAGCGGCGGTTGTGCATAGACCATTCATCTGAATGGATGGCGGTTGTAGCGGGTGTGGGGGAAGGGGTGGATACTGGGGTGTGAGGGATGTTGCGAGGACTGCTATACTGTGGGGTGTGGGATAGGGTACACAGAATTTGTGGGTGGTGGATCCAATGGGCATCGGGGGCACAGGTTGACTGCTTGTTCATGATATTGATCAATTTCATCTGGCATGTAGTTAGAAGTCCAAAGGGGTATCATGACCATTAGCCAACTGACCTTGAACATTGTATGGAAGCCCCCTAGTGAGCCTGGTATTACTCACACAGGAGTTGATAAACATAAGTGACAACTCTTGGGCTTTTGATTGGGATTTTTCGGGATACCAGGGCTTGCCACCTGGACGACCCAACCCGGCCCAAACTCCCGGCGTCCCGGCCCAGGCCCAATTGCGAGGCTTGTCAGAAACCTAGGTACCCCGGGAGGTGGATTTGAGTACAAGGCTGTATCCACGTCTAGAAATACACCAAGTTATTTTTGGGCACAAATATAGGGTACTCAATCTGAGTACCCAAGTTCCCGGCATAGCCACCAACGCGACATTGCACCTGACACGATGTCAACCCATAGAAAGTCACGCTATTTTTGTGACCTAGGGTTGCAGTCAAGTACCAACTATACCACCCCTGGGCCCGAGTACCCCAAGTATCCTCCCGGGGCACTTTGTATTTGTTTCCTCCTATGGTCCAACCAATTTTATTGCCGTAAACATAGCGCTATCCTGAAGCTTGTATATTCCTGCCACCATCTTCCTCATTGAGCTATCGGGAAAGATAGCAACTGTTTACGTAATTTCGCCCATTGTATATGAGAACAATACTGTTTGTTCTTGAACAGGAATGCAAAGACCTTGTATAGCTCAAGCAGGTAGCCACCCATAGTGGCCCATACACCCCTGTGACCCCCTGCATTACCTTACTCATGCATCTTTGCTAAGAATACCCCCGTGGGCTGAAAATGTGGTGAGGACTTCCGCAAAATATCGGCCGGCGGAGGTATTCTTGCCAAAGATGAGTGAGTAAGGTCACCCGTAGTCCTTGATTATCTCCTGCAGCTCCCTATATCTTGTGGCATAAAGGCCTCACCTCGTAGGGCCACCGATCTAACCCAAAGACTCCAGACTTGCAAAATTACCGCCTCAGCCGGACCACTATATGCTGCATTGTCTTTTCTAAAGAACTTGCCTGTTTTTTGACGGCTTGCATGATTGTGAACAGTGATCTCCGGCTTTCACATTACGTAGCAACTTTATATTGAAATCACCGGTTCTCCGACCCCACCTAACTATCCGGGGACCTTCCCGGAGGTGCCGAAGGATTTGCAAAGCTTAGACGCATGATTGGTAACCGCAATAGACGGTTCTGGAGGGTGTTTGCTATGAATGTATCTTAGATTGGTCTTGGAGGCCATGGGAATGAATAGCACGAGGCAGCAGCATGGACGGTGATTGGCTAAGAAAGCGGGGTAGACTGAAGCTGATAGAATCTTAGAGAAAAGACCAAGAGAAGGGTGGAAGGAAAAGAGTCGGATATGTTGTAGACCAAGGAGAGATGTCCTGGAAGGGAAGCAATCCCACAAGTGTATATAAAGATAGGTGTTCCTTTGAAGGAGAAGCGTAGTAGGCAAGAAAAATCAGAATCGAGTTTGGCCCCACACAGAACAGAAAAGAAAAATCTTCCAAGCGCAGAGAAGAGACGACAGACGATCACGATTCACAACACTTTATCCTTATCACTCATAATCTATCATACCTGTTATCCATCGTTGATTATGCATGCCCTAACAATACTTTCATCCCTGATTGCACATTGAGCCCATTATTATTACACTTCTGCTGTTGCATCCATTTGTCCTTTCCATCAAACTTCCTTAATTTTGCTCCAGTCAGCTTAATTTACCCAACATGATCATGATAATGGGATCTAGTAATATTGAATTCCAGCTCACCTTCTTTAAGCTTGGTGTTGATGGTGTCACTCATCCGATCTCCCTCATACTGCCATCAGGGTCCTCTACACCAGTGCCTGATCCTCCGATATCCCATCCACCCTCAATACCAGTCACTAACCCACCAATATCCCGCCCACCTTAAACACTCATCCCGGAGCCCCGGATATCCCAGCCACCCTCTACATCCATCACTGATCCAGCAATATCACATTCACCTGAAACCAGGGCACGCATTGCAGCCTCACAAAACACTAGTCTGAACTGCCTAATAATTAGGCGTCCTGCTCCACCCTCCCGAAATTCCCGCACTTCTGATGCACTAGGGACTCTCTGTGGCTTAGCATAGCCCTTTAGACATTCTCTCGGAATCACAAACACTATGTGGAGATTCTTGATCGCGGCTGGTAGCACCTGCAGGAGGGCTCGGATGCCATGCTTTTTGATGTCATGGGTCGCAGCGATAGTGATTTGAAAAACAATTAATGTATCGGATTCAGAAAACACTAGTCCATCCACAGACTCAAAATTTCGGCCACATGGTAGAAAGTATTTTCCAATAACAGAGGTCTCAATACCTCTACCACTAGGAGCCCGAACCTGCCTGTCTAAGTCGGTCGGATCCGTGAAATAGTTCGTGGATATGGATTTAGATCTATCGATCATAAATCTCAAGTCCGTCAAGGTCTCGGGATCCTCCCCAATTTCCTGGGCGACAAAGTGACCCCCATGTCGAAACCAATCGTGTGAATACCCTTCGAATATCCACCCCGCAGAGGTGCGGAGCGGTCGTTGCCGTGCGAGGTTTTGGTATAAACCATAGAAGCTCAGCTTCGAGACCTGCTGCGCCCGTTGGAAAATACAGAATCCAATCCATCTTGTTGCTATCAGCAATCGAAAGGATTCTCCGTTATTTATCGGTTCCAAAATGCTTAGTTTGGCCGATGCTTTGTCCATTACAGGGTCATCTAAATCGCTGTATCCACCTGATCGAATAAATGCCCGGACATCCTCGTTCACGACATGGAGATAAATCCTCAGGCTCCGTGCATACGCTTGGTCATTCGTTACTGATATGTCGCGCAAGCAAGTTCTTGCAACTGGGCCTAACGCAGTGAATACTGCGTAAAGCTTCTCCTTCTCGCTCTGAGTCGCTTGCTTCGCCTGGCATAAACTATCATAGTAAGAACTAGTTAGCAGGTGAATTGAATATACTAGTGTCTCGGTGCCAATAATTAGCACCTCTTTTGGAATGTGCCCCTCGAAGCCATACAAAGTTTAGCCTTTGAGTCAAATCAAAACTCTATCACCGGTGACACAAAACTCAATGCCAGAAAATAAGCCGAAGTGGCAGTTGCCACCGCAGTAGCAGAGTGCAATCCCTCACACGAGAGGAGCAGCCTCAACACTATCCTCTCTGCGTCCTTGTGGAGGCTATTCCAAAAGAGGTGCCAAATCTTGGCACAGAGAGACAAGTTGGAGAAGGGGATTGGTACCAGAATGCTGCAAAAATTTTATTCCATTTCCAGTTACTCATGTAACGCACTGTAGCGTTCCGCTCACTGCTCCACATATCTGAAGCCTCCAGCTGGCTCGGCCGTGCCGCCAGTACCACAAACCAAGCATTACAATTCCGACACCAACCAGGATCAGTAATTTCGTTACTAGTCAGTATCCAGAGGTGCCGTTGTTCCTCCGGTGGAAGGTCAAACAGGAACTGCGCATCTACCTGCCCACCAGCCGTGTCCTTGTCAAAGAGAAAACACTTGCGATCATTCTCCCTGTAAACTGTTGGCTTGCCCATAACCAGGCGACGCGCTAAGAGGTAGGAAAGAAAATACGATTTTCCTTACTCACTGTCAGAAAAGAGCAGAATAATAGCATATGTAGATACAACATACCTGTACCGGGTTGACCAACAACCACATAATCATGTTGTGCTCCCCACTCTGTTAGTCCAGTAACTGAGGACCATTTTTCCAACTCTGCTTTCTCTAAACGCTGCTCGATCTGCATGTACTCGGAGCGCACAAGAAGGACATTCCATCCACAAGGCAGCCAAGCCCGAACCCTCAGTGCTGTAAAATCCTGAGACACAGGATTTTCTGCAAAACCCGGCACAGGAAGTCCTTCATCTATTGCTTGTTGGAGGCTAAAGGGATATCCAGGAACGAGGGTTTGTTCCGGCTGAGGAACCCCGATGCGGAAACGGTGCAGTATTTGGGTTCCTCTTCCCCATAACTCGTAATAGACATCTTCCATCAAGTTTGAAAATCTTTATATTGTCCGTAACTGAAAATTCTAAGGGGGGGGGGGCGGAGGTGTTTGCAGTACTGGGAAATGTGAGAGGATGCTAGTTTGTCAGTATCCTGTGTGGAAAAATGGCCACGCGCCAAGCACCAAGCGCGCGAGAGAAAACCGGGACTGGAACTATTAAGCCAAGCCTATAGGATGGGATTTATGCCGGTCTTTTCATGTTTGACCAGCGGTATATCTGCGGCTGGTCTGTAATCTACCATATGTCAGTATCGGCATGCCGGACCGACATTTAATACCCCTAGAGTATGCATGAACTGTTTGACTCCTACGAGGTTCTACTATACATAAAACTATTTTAGACCACTCTCAGGGGATGAGCGATCTTGCCTGAAGATAGCTGCGAATGGTGGCTTTGTTTCAGCACATTAACTCTCTACAGTACTAAGCCTGCATTCCTCTACTTGCAATATAACCTCCTGCCCTGATATCGTATACTACTAGCTCAACTGCAGCTCCATCTGGGCCTCTAAATAGGTTTCCCCTCTGTCAATTTGCCGCTGACGTAAAATGGATATCGGTCGAGTCTATGTTCATGCCGCTTATACTTTGAGTAACCCCAAACAAAAATCTAAAACAAAGAGGCCCTCGCTATTAGCAACTCACTTCCTATGTCCACATCTTAGCCAATGGACTGTCCAAGACTCGCAGACCTCTTCTTTCCCAACTTCAGGTTAACGAGATCATCGTGTTAAGAGGTAGATGGAAAAAACTATCAGTGTGGAGGGAGTTGAGCAACACCAATATTGTTCTGGAAAAGCTTTGAGGATGTTGGAGGCATTATGGTGGTTTTAGGACTGACAAAGGGAAACTCATAGAAAGGTCTTGCGGGATCTTTTATTTTGTATTATGGTCAATGGAATATATATGAGACACCTCCGGTAGGATAGAGTGAATAAGGGACAACTAGACAGTCTCATACAAATATAGCCTAGATTTGAACATGCTGGTGAT